ATGGCATTATTGGAGCATTTCAGTAGGTCTTGGGTTAGGTCTGAGGGGTTAAAGAGTGATTTAAGGTCAATTCGGAAGTGGGTTTTTTGGTTGGGGGGGGTTCATTATCGTTTCCTGTGTCGGGGATCTTTTCAGAGGTATCGGAGGTAGAGGCTTGGGAGTTGGGTTGTTGTTATGGGGTGAAGCGATTTTTCAGGGGTAAGGATTGGGTTGGAGGTGGGGGGTAGGTTCTGGAGGGTTTAGTAATAGGTTGGAAGCCGTCTTCGGTCATAAACCGCTTGGGATTCCTGTCGGGGGAGGGGTCGTGATGTCGTCTTGCTGATGAGATGGCGGATGACGTGGCGGTGGAGGCAGGTGGCGCAGTTGCTGTTTGCTGGATTACCGTGTGATGATCTTCGTCGATGGTTAGTTTGGTACTGTCATCATCGCTCGACTGATCCATCGGTTTCTCCGGGGAGCTCGCCATGTCGTCGTCGTCGTCGGATTCGGCCAACGGCCGAAGCCGCGCCTCCTCCCTGAAGCGCCGGTTACTTTCCATGAGTGCTCGTCGGAACAGCTCGCGGGGCACACGAGACAGGTCGAACATCTTTCGTCTGGTAGCCACCAACTTCAGATTGGGCTTCCGGTCCACGTGGTCAGATGTTCCGTTGCTGAAGTACGGTTCCGTATAGAAACGTCTCAGTGAATCTATAACAAAGATTAGGAGAGTTACAGTGGCGATAAGTGGGTTAGGGCCTCACTCGACGCTCGCTCGATATCCTGGGTGTGGCGATGATTATACTGGTAAGCTGCCTTGTCTACAGTAATTATTAAGTTGGTTTGCTTCGAAAATGGTCTAAAGATAAATAATCACTATAAACATCAGTAATTGAATCAGTACTTAATTTTTTTCTTAAAAATTACTTTAGATAACGTGAATTTTGCAAATATTTATTATACTAATACAAAAATTATTATACAATCTAACTTTATGCAAATTAGTGTTTACTGAAAATTCAAAGTGGCTTACTTGTAAGCAGATTTGTATATATTATAAATATAATATTGTGTTGTGGTTAGTGATTGATTACATTTGAAAAACACAATGGCCATTTCCTTTACTTTTACAGGGAGATACCTAGCCTCTTGATGAAAGAAATTTGGAAGTATGTGATTGAGTGTTTAAGAAATAATTATGGAATTGGGTCTTGTATGGAGGAAAATAAATCAATTGTGTACTATAGGCCTATGTGGATCTCCAAAATTAAGAATATTTTCTTCCAAATTATATGAAAAATAAAAACAGTGAAGACAAGTGTGAAATTGTGCCAAAAAAGTGACTATGAACAGAATATTTCAAATATGTGAAGTGCTCTATTATTCTGTCAATTTCTATTCTAAAGTCCCATTAGTGTGTCAAATTTCATCTTTTAACACAGTTTTCAGTTTGGTGTATTCTCAGTATTTAGAAGAGGAAGTATCATTTTTATTTAAAGAAAATAATTAATTTGAAGTAAGATTTTTGGCTAGTTTTTGTTTCTTTTGTGATATAAATAATTGTATGTTATGCAATATACATTATGGAGTAAATAAAATGAAAATTTAAAGTGTCTACTTAAAATTATTATTATCTTTAAAAATAAGAAAGAATTCTTCATATTTTAATATTGTCTGGACAATAATTTTGGT